TAAGGTCATTCCGCTACACTAGATACCAAAACCCGCAATATTCAGACTACTAGTTATAATCAATAGTAGAAATTTTAGATTTACAGAATGTTTTGGAAGATTCTAGAAAATTCCAGAATAATCTAAACACTATTAAAATTGATGCGCTTTTTCCCGTTGCTAGGGAAGCATGCACCTCCCACCTCACCCCACGTTACTATGCAAACGTACTCGTTGCCCTTTGACCTTTAACGCTGTTTGCTAAGGTCTGTAATGAGGATGTCTATAAGCGAGGGAGCCGCAAAAACTCCGATTTGAAGTTACACTCAGATTTTAATATGTGAGCTCCACAAAACGTCAAAATTGAATATATCGTCTTTTCTATTTTTTTAAGACATGACTAAAAGCTTTCAAAGTATTTGTTTTCATTTTTAACCGGAAGGGTATACTTCCTGATTTGAAAATCTATCATTTGAACATTAGATAACTGTAATCTTATTTACTTTGAACATGACAAATTGAGTTTTATTGAAATTTATCTCGCTATCGTCTTCGTCTTCACCCAAAATCATAAATTGTGCCACTCGTTCTACAAAATTCTTATCAATAAAACGATCATATAAAATAGTCACGTTTTCTGGTATATTATTTAGTGTGTAGCGTTCTCGTTTATTCACTGCATATTTGATCATCTTTGGCCAAGTGTAATAACCATGAAACGATTTATCCAAAAAACATGTTTGTTCCCATTCAATCTGTGTCTCAGGCGGTTTATAATCATCGATTGTTACCCATAAATTATCATCACGATCACCCGGACAATATTCATCATTCATCATAGCTGGTAGTGGTTTACCGATATTATGAAAAATTTCTTCTAGAGATTTTTCGACATAGAGTCTAGGTGGTTTTTGTAAACGACAAAATGCTCTAATACCTATTGTAGCGTACTAAAATAATCGAATGGAAACATTTCACATTTTTATCATAACTCTTTAACTAACTCTTCGTAATTCAATATTATCATGAACAAGAAAATCAACGAATGTTTCAATACATGACGATGATAATGGCACAAACTTTTGAAGTAGAAGACATAATAATGATATTGTTATCTTTTGCTGACCCCAAGTCCTGAATGTTAATAACAAAAGAAAAACTTATTTGGATATAAAATGAAAAATGACTTGCAGTGTATCATCTATTAGTAATAGATTAAGCGTTTCTATTAGATTACTGTATGACTGAATATCGGTTTGATTAGATGCGTTACGCGTTTCTATTTCGCTCGATTCTAACGGACGCCATAGAGCTATTGCCGCATATATTGATATTTCAGTAGTATTTTGAATAATGACTTGCGTAACGAACTCTTCGCAAATTTTTTCATGAATATCATCAATCAAATTTTGTGTACTGATTTTATTTGCATGAGCCATTCGTGCAATTGATGGCCACAATTTTTCCTTCATTGTCCACGAATATTTAGTAGGCAAGAAAAAAGAATCATCACCCAAAAGAATGTAAAGACATCCCTAAATGATGTTTAAATGAATTAAAATAATAAGAAGAAAAAACAAAAATGACAAACTTTAATTTGATCATGATCAACTTCATCTTGTGTATTAAACAGTTCGACANTTGAACATACAGAAGATAGAATGGATCAGAGAATTCCCTGATCTCCACGCTGATGTCTTCTGTATATTTTCCCATATACTGAAAAACTCAGCTAGCCATAATCTAAAGAGAAAGATATAACAGAAAGAAGGAGGAGATGAACAAACTTGGATCCTTGATTGTGCAAATCTGGAGGCAGATTGACAGGAAGAAGCAGAGTAAACGTGTTGATGGTATTATCAAAGCTCCAATCGAATGGACACATTCGTGGACGTAATTCGTCAAGAATTTCTTGAGTGGCCTGTGCTGAAAAGTATGAAGCACATAGTCGCACACAAGCAAAAAGCGACGTATTAATATCTCTGAAAGCAAAATCAATAATAACAATAATAAATTCTTTCAGTTCTTCAATACAAGAAAAAATATACGAACTTGGGCAAAATGACTAATCCATGTGTCTTATCATGATTATCATAAATGAGTTGAGCCCAATTGTAGAATATTCGCCAATCGATTATTAAATCATTTCG